CGCTTGTGAAGCGTGGCGGCGCTCCCGCCGAGGGTTCGGATCCCACATACGGACCGGCCGCTCACTGGCTGAGCGAGGAGCGGGGGCAACACCGAGGGTTGCGATCCCGTTGCCGGTCCCAGTCCGGTACGGGGGCGACACTGAGGGTTGCGATCCGTTGCCGGTCACGAAGAAAGACAAAAAAAAAAAAAAATGTAACTTTTGTTTTACTTTGGTATAAAAACTCATCATTGTCCTCACTTAGAATTGATTTGAATTGACAGTCTTATTTTCTAGTATGGGTTAAATCTTGTTACAGATAGCACTGTTTAGAGGGTTCCCAAGTTTTAGCAAATGATCTACTCCTTGTAAGTAGTACATGATTTAACACAATTTTGTTATCACCGAAATTTTGGGACTGTTCTATGAATTTTGCTTGTTTACATAATTTCATTCATTTTACTGGTAGTTATTGAGTATCTCCTGGGTGCCAGGCACTGGGGATATAGGCTAACAAGGTGGATGGAGTTCTACCTTCATTGAGTTTATTTTGGCCTGTGGTATGAACACAGTGATAACATTTACATACCTGCTAATTTCATTTGTGAGTATCAGCTAAAACATTTCATGAATCTGTTAGGAATATTTTATTTATTCATTCATTTATTTATTTTATTTTATTCATTTTTTTTTTGTGGCTGGCCAGTAGGGGGCCAGTGTTACAAAGAAATACCTTTTTTTCCTCTAAAAAATATAGTCATTAGAATAACTGAAAGATATTAACAACCCAGTGTGAATTCAGTGGTGATTGGCAAATGGCAGTTGTATGTGGGACTCTAAGTAAGCATTCTCTTTGGGGAACTGTGGTTAGGTGTTGATTGCTCTAGAGATATGGCATTCTAGGCATATTATCAGGGTTTTACTTACCTTATTGCCTTATTGTTGGTATCTTTGGGCGCAATCCTGGAATTGTAGTCAAGGGAGAAGAGAGCAAGTCTGTTATCTGTCCAAATGAAACTGTAGGACAACTGAGTTGGTTTGAAGAATTGTTTTGTCTGGTCTTTGAGACTCGGAAGTACACATGTTTTCTTCTAAGAGAGCTTAGGGTATGAACATTTTAAGTATTTTGTTACATGAGACTCTTTTACTTGAGTAGGTTAAAATCGAAAGCCAAAGTAACCTGGTGTTGGAGGACCCTGGTGTATTATTTTAGTGGTGTGTGGTGTGCTAACCAGTGTATTCTAAAACTTTGGTAGTTACACTTGTCAACATCCTGTAATGGGTTGTTTTTCTTCCTCTTTCCTTCCCCTTCTTACTGTATCTTACCACAAATATGATCTTAAAGTGGATAGGATCTGCAGCTGACAAAATAGGCCATTTATATAGAGGTACATGTGGGTATTTCATAGAATTAACATTATAGGTTAGTCATAGATCACTGTAGGTTTTGATTTATATAATAATTTCTTCTTGCTGATTATGGCTTCTTCTGTAGTTATCACTGTTTATGCATAGTGTTTTCAATTTTACAGTAAGCATGTATCAGTTCTGTTCCAGCATTCTAGCTTACAATGAAAATTGTCTCCATTTTTGTTTAGCAGACAACTTCATATATTTTGTTGCATGTTTACAATTTGGGGAAATTTAGGATTGTAATTCTGATGATAAATCATCAAGGAGTCTAGTTGGCATAGCATTACACTGTTTGGCAGTGCTACTGTTAACAGTCTTCTTGAGGGCAGAGGGCTGGATGAGTAGAGTAGTGTTAGGTAGCCTACTTGAGAGACTCTTTCCTTCTATAGGCTAGACATTTTCAAATGACTGCTCTAAGAAGAGAGTGGCCAAATACTTCTTTTTAGTACTTGGTTTAGGAAGGTAATAGTTGTAATATAGATTTGCATTTTATCTGGAGCCTGATGTGCCAGTACAGACAGGTTCTAGTTGGACTGTTTTTCGCAGACTTTCCTCTAAAGAGGATATTTTTATTTTTAGTATTTTATTTTTTCTTTAAGCCATAATTTGGATTTTAATAAGTTATTTAAGAAGTTTTTCTTTTCTCTCTTTTTTTTTTTTTGCAGTATCAAAGTGAATGATAAAGCACAATTCTTTTATAATTAAATAGAAAA